AGTGATGGAGAGATAAAGAACTGCAGGTAGTGTGTGTGCGTGAAGACCTGTGGCAGAATTCTTTGACGTATCTGGCACTGTCTGCTCTTACTGAAGTTAATCATAAAGTTCTCATTGACTTCAGCATCCGGTCAACAAACGAAAATTGTTATTTAGAAAGAAGATGATACCTACAAAACTGCAATGCTGAGTGGACAGTGATGACCAAAAGAGGAATTCTGTCAGAAGCAACCTGCAATTTGAGAATGAATGATACATGGAAGTATCACTCTACTGGCTAAATTTGCTTTATTCTCAATAAAAAAAAAATACTGAGATATAGAAATACTACCATGTCCAAACCTGCTCAGAATCCCTTAGTATAACCTGATGTCCTCTGTGCATATTTTTCTGCTCTGAGTTACTTTAATCCAGGGAAGCTTTGTCTTAAGTAAGGGAGTAACAAATATCCGTTGACTAATGCAGGAGAACTTTAATTTCAGATCTAACACCACAGTGCTGAAAACATCAAGCTTTTTTAAAGTATCCACTTAAGAAAGTGGACTAGCTACTTCTTGCTGAAAGTGATCAGTATGAACGTTTCACTGCTCAGTCTTTTGTTAGCTGAAAGGTGAAATTGCTCTAAACTGAAAGCAGTGCCTCCAAGATCCTCTCTTCTTGTTAGAGGTTTCTCTTAGGTAGAGAGGAGGAGAGGAAAGCCAGGTTGTGAGAGACAAGACAACATACCACAAAAGAAGAGCTAGCTGCAAAGCACCAGATGTACTGACAGTGCCACATTCCCATCAGACATTAAACCAACAGGGGTGAAAACCAATTCTCCTCTTGCAAGAAGTGACCTCAACACCTGTGTGGCACACCACCACGTCACAGAGACAGGACCTGGCTCCTGACAGACCCAGGGAGTCACTGAAGCCCTGGGGCACAACCAGGGTTGGGGAACAAACAGGGGTGGGAGAGGAAGAAGGGATAGGCTTTCTCAGTCCTACTTGCACCCTGTTTCCCACTCTTCCACCAGTTTTCACTCTACTTGCTTTCTCGCTGTACTACTGCAGGTTCTCCAAGGGATGCTCCGCAGAGGATTAGGAAGGGTGCTAACACTATGGCAGGGTTCGGGAGGTGGGGGCTACAACTCCTTTTGTGCTCCTGGTAGAGGTAAGATCAGGAAAACGTTGATTCTGTCACCTGAAGGAACTCAGCTGAAAATGCCCTGCAATGGACAGCCCACTGAGCTACTCAAAACAACTCCAGGGGAATGATGTTACCTTCCACGGGTGATTTTTTTTTCCTCAGCCCTTCTGGAGGGCAGGCTGTCGGTGACTTTGGCAGTTTGTGCTGTGAGATAACAGTAAAGCTTCACCAAAAAGCTAGGGACCACATGAGATTTTATTGCTTTGGATTAGATGACCCCATTTGAGCTCCTGAACTCGTCCTGACCTTTAACAGCTGTTTCTTAAGCCAAGAGTACGTACCAATGTTAAGTAGAGGGAAACACCTTGGGCGTTTTTTAGCTGAAGCAGAACCCCCAGCCTTGGAGCTCCCAATGGCATGGCAAGGCCGTGCAGTGCCTGGTTCGGGCACCGAGAGCCATACAGTTGTGTCAGCATGGCACAGTGCCCGGGATAACCAGGCTTGGCACAGGGTTGAATTAATGTGATCTAATACTGCTTTTTGCACTTGGGCAAAATAGCTTATGATGCCCATATATGTTTGTTCTTTTCAAGCTACTCTGGAGCTATCTGGCATATGCTGCATTACATGTGGCCCTTAACTTCCCTGCGTGGGAAGGCAAGGCTCAGCAAGTTACCATCAGCCTCGCAAAAATCCTCATGAATGCTCCTAACATTCATCACAAATTCCTTTCTCATCTAGAGCCTCCCATTTTTAGGGAGAGTAAAAGATACAAGTTTAGATATGCAAGGTTCAGTTCTCAGACCTTCACACCTCCAGATCCAAAACTAAAGCTGAATTCAGCTGTGCAGAGCTGTGTCTGACAGTGGACTGCACTGCAGCTGCTGCAGTCCCCACAGCTGATGGTCTCCTAGGAACAAGCAAAGACTTGCTCTTCTGCTTGCTGATTCCCTCAAGCCTAAAAAAGAAGCTTCTACTAACAATGAAGAAACGCAGTTACTAGGTGTACATTCACAGCCACGAAAGCCTTGCTGCTGGCTCACCAGAGACTCAGAGGTGATCCCCAGAGCAGCCCGGGTTCAGTGGCTTGTTCCTCCTCGAAGATCTTCACACCCAGCTTCCTAACACTTTCTGTGTGCGTGCCAGAGGGTGGGAGGAAGCTTTGATTGCATGCCTTGGGCTCCAAAATCGAATGCACAGACATTACTCAACAGCTCCTTTTCATCAGACTAAGATTCTACAGCATCTGTTGTCGTTAGAGAGCACCTCCCCTGGCATGCTGAAATATCACAGAGACCTAAAACATATAAGCTCACAATTACTGAAACAGTAGAAAAGGCGTGAAACTGAACAAAGCTCCAGGTTGTAAACCTAGCAGACTAAATTCTGGTTTTCAGTTACAGTGTCTGTGTATGTCTGGAGTTTCTTATTCTAGATTTATAGTACAGCATAATTCTATACAGAGTTATTGTAATTCTACACAGAGTTATGCTGGAGAAGATATCAGTTGGTTGAAATTCATGTAGAGATTGTGGGGGTTTTCCCCGCCTCTCAAATTCTATGGATTAAATTTTTAAACTGTTGGTCCCCATTTTGGGAGCTAGAACAGGTGGGGCACAAAGATGCTCAGCATGTTTATGCATTTGGAAAACTGAGATGGGACTGTGATAGGCAAAAGCTGTGTGTTGATGAGTTTTGTTTTTTGTTTTTAAAAGGAGCCGGCTTTAAACACCTACAAGGTAACTGGGGTCTTATCAAAATGAGACCACATTTGTGGGTACACTTTGGTCCTGGCCCCTCATTATTTGACACGTCTCCTCTGTACCTAAGCAGTACCGTCTTTCGGACACGTAGGATTTGTGTCGCTGGCAGCACAGCTCCTCATGGAGGAAGATCTTATTTATCTGACTGAGGAGCTTGCACAGGGACCTTCTCCAGATACATTTTTAGCCTGACGCACAAGAGGTGGCATTTCCAGGCTCAGGCCTGAGCTGGGCGCTGATGCAGCCGTTGCACAGGGTGCACTCCATGGGAGCTGTGGACAACAGGACGCGTTGCAACACAAGCCGCGTGGATCAAAGCTCGGGCTGAAGGCAGAGCCCTTAACGCCTTCCCTCGGGAGAGCAGTAAGGCCTCCATCGTTCCGAAGGCAGCGTTTCTGTCATTTCTGTGTTCCACATGAGGTCTAACACAAAGGCGTTGTCCCAAGAAGTCTTGCTACCTGCTTTCCCACCCCTTCATGGTGTCACCGATCTCATCTCTTCCATCCACCCCCCGGGAACAGATTTTCCACGGGCTGGATTAGGTGCAAGGGAGTTGCTCCTGTCACCCCAGCAATCACCAGTCACCCCTCACATAATTCAGGCTTAAGTGAACTGAGAAAAAGAGTGAGCCTCAATAAACCTTTTTATGTGCTAGCCTCACTGCCCATCACCGCAGTCAAAATGGTACGGAGTTACAACCGAGGGAAGGCATTAAGGGCAGAAAACACCAAATTAAAAACGATCAGCACAGGCATATGAAAGAACCATAAAACAAGGACCGAAGGGCAAATTCACCGTATGTGTTATTCACACTGGCTGTCCCTCCTGAAGTGGAATGCTGTGGGAATGTTGGAGGTGAGGGGGAGGAGGTGTTTCTGACACTCAGCAATAGGGAAAGGATTGAATTCTCTCAGTCAGGAACGATGGCAGCTGATGTGATGCAGAATAAAGAAATGTTACAAAGATGATTTGCAGGCCTAAGGAGTAATTTTTAAATTATTCCAAGTATAAAAATTTGAGTATAAGAAGTACAAAAATAATTCCTACATTCATCAAATTATTGATTGTAAACCTATTCTATTACAATCTGTCTTTAGGATATTGTTTTTCTTTCCTGGAAAACCTTATGATCTCCAAAGCTTCTAAGATGTATCCATATGGGTCCACCATGTATATACATTAAGAAAAGGCGACATATTGCAAGCGATTATACATCTCCTTTACATTCCCTTCATGTAGTTTTTAAAGTTTTCTTCTAAGATAGAAAAAATGGAAAACATCTAAGCTTGAGCAATTCTAGCATTCAGCACTGTTATAGTACATGCCTTATAATGCACAGTGTGAACTCTACTCTTCTGTAATGTGCATTTCCTCAGAATCAAAACTATATCTTTAAACATAGTATCTCACCATTGATTTTACAGCTGGAAATGTCTGTGTAGACAAAAAATACCTGCTTACCCTGTAAGACACACTACAATAAAGCAGTTCTATGAGTCTGTTCCTTTACACTTTCTATATAAATATGGACACTGACACATGAGTTAAGGAACAGACATTACTAGGATTGCTTCCTTTCAAAGTGCTGTTAGGTGTTTAGAACACTATTTCACTCTGCATGTTTATTCCTTAACCAGGTTTCCTTCAGAACCGTGTTGCGGCAGAAGTTATGAATTATTAGAAATGTATCAAGTTTGCATTTTTTCCCCGCTGTTTTTCAACTATTTCCAAATTCTTGGAATTACCCTAGAATGTGCCCTAGAAAACCACTGAGAAAAAGATCAAAGGGACATCTTGAAAAGAGAGAACCATATCCAACAGCAGACAAAACGATCACATTTATATTTTTATCAAGCATGGTCTCCTAGATACTCCCGCAAGAGATTCCAAAAGCCTTTCACATTCCAAACCAAGCAGTGCAGCACGATGGGAGATACTCACTATGTTCATGAGGGTGAGGAGGTAGTTTTGAACGTGTTCCTTGCCATGGAATCGGACGACAGAGTCGTCCACTCCTAACAACACCTCAATGTTGTAGTCGTCGTCTCCCGCGTGCCTGCGTCGCCGCAGGGTTTCGTTCAGTTGCTGCTCGATGCTGCTGTACAGGGAACTCAGCTCTCTGAGGCCGCCAAGAAGAGACTCTACAAGAAAGAGTAAGACATCAACATCTACTCCAATTCCACTCCAGGAACATCCTCCTGCACATCATCCTCACCTGTAGTGTCACCACTGCGTTGGATAAAATAAACTAGGAACTCTGAAGAGATTATTCTAGTGGTGTAGGGGTAGGGGAAATCACCAGATACCCTATCAAAAAATTAATGCGAACATATGGTTCTATAATCTGTCACACAGTTCTTATTTCAAGTATAAAATACTTGGCCAAATAGTTCACTTCCTAACCCAAAATTTCCCCCCTCATTTTTTTGTACCCTATCAGGCATGTGTTATGGAATGCCACAGACATGGGATGCCATACAACACTTAACTTGCAGCTTTAGAGCTCAAAAGTAACATGGTCAGCCCCAATTCATGTTGAAAAGATCTCAAGTTGCAGTGTTGTGGCTCTCCCCCTCATACCCCATCACTGGAACAGCTAAGCTAAGATTTTGGACTGCCTATTTTTGTAAATCTTTATTTAAGAAGTAGGCATTGGCATACTTCCTTCTGTGAATATCACAGAATACTAGAAAGGCCACTTGAAGACACTGGTCAAGGGGCACTGTCCAGATGAACCACTCTGAATTGGCTTCTAAGGGGATGCATCCTATAGCCTGCATCTGCAGTGACTCTAAAGATATTTCTTCCACTTAGGACAGTAAAACACAACATCACCATGGATTTTTGACAGTAAAGAAGGCACAGCTGTAGGCTATTTAGTTCTTCCTAAATCTAAGCCAGCACACCAACAGGCTCTAAGCAATGAACAACAGCAAAGAGGCCTGTTTGGAACACCTCACAGTGTAAACCACCAGCGACGTACTGCAGTCCTCACTAGGAATTGGGCAGTTCTTGTGGCTCCAGTCCTGCACCAGGCAGGGAGCATCCCCATTCCTGCCTCCTCCACGTAGAAGAAAGAGATGATACAGCCCTTAAATGCACATGGATCTTCCCACTCTATGACCCCAGCAAAAGCAACCAGCGTCTGATGGATAGAAAGGAGAAGACAGTCCTGACTTCCACTTGTGTTGACTCGTATTGTAATGGTGCAAGTCCTTTTTCTCTACACTGGAGTTGATGAAAGCCGAAGTGGCGAGTACACAAACTGGCTCTTCACATGTTTTTAGGCACGACTCCCAGCAAACTGGAGGTAAGTTTTGCCGGTGGGAGGACAGCAGGGCCAACATTGTAAAATGTGCTGGGTGGCCACGCTGTAATTTGTTTTGAGCAGATTCAGCTACTGGCAGAATTAGCTGGGAAGCCTCTTCCTCCTAAGTATCACAGCGGTTGACAGCAACACATAAATAACACTCCTCAAACCCCACATCAAACGGCGAGGTTGTCCCCAGTTGTCTTCTGAAGCTTAGCCCTCCACTATGGGTGAGAGACCAGGTCTGCAAACAACTTTTCAACCTCTCGCTCTCAAGAATGCGAACCCTGCCATAGCACACAAGCAGGAAATTCACAGACAGGCTCCAATTCTAAAAATTGCTGCAGCTGGCAAAGCTGCCAAGCGCGGCATCCAACGGAAATACACCAGTAATGCCACCATATCGCTGCGCCCGCAGCGCGAATGGAACACCTTGAGGTCACTCCAGAAAGGACCAACTATCTGCACAGCACAGCACCTTTGGCTTGGCTGTCACTCCCCTTCTTAAATAGGTGGGTTTGCGGTTCCAACAAAGAGGAAAATCTCTTTTTTTGTGTGCATGTGAGCAGGCAAAGCAAGTCAGAAATGATTCCTTCTTTTTCCACCCCTCTCTAATATGCAGCCACTTTCTTCACACAGAGGGCATTCTCAATATGCCAATATTTTCCACGCATGCACCCACAGAGTATTTTTCAAGTGTGCAATCCCAACAAAGCAAGAAAAAATAACCACACTCTAGGAAGAAACATAATGCCCATTTTTGCCCAAAATTTTAAAGAAAATGGAAAAGTAGTACTGGAAAAATTTTCACGCATTGAACCTCCCACCTCCGGAAATGCAACTTGCATATTTCTTTCCACAGAACCCCCAGCCTCCCCCTGACCGGGCTCAGTGGTGAAAACCCAACCACTTGACTCGGCCTGGCACCAGGACCTCTAAGAATATTAAGCAGTACCCACTTTAGCTGCCGTTTTCCTGGTGCTGACTGGGTTTTAATTTTTCATCTGCTCTTCTTGGCACTACTAAAGTATGATACTCCTTAACAGAAACGTTAACATCGGAAAACAGCTGTTGACTTTAAGGCTGATTTGAGCTACTTATCAGCTAGTAATCACTTAACAAGCCTCATCCTGCATGTTGCCTTTCCCCATACCTTGCTGGGAGGTGAAGCAGTGGGGTCCTCTCCCTAAACGCACCCACTGCACATTGCTATGCCCTGTCCAAAAAATACGGGGTAATACGAGTGGTTTATCTATTCTCTTGCTTGTCCGTTTTCCATAATCTAGCACTAAAGGGACTTCAGTCAAACAACCAGAATCAACCCCAGGTTATATGTACTAACAGTAGCTCTGCAAATGCTGCAATCTGCATCCATTGCCACGCACTGAAGAGAACACAAGGGCAAAGGGATGAGGGTGTGACGTGAGAGCAACAGTGCTGTCAGAAGACGTCTATGTTCCCACAGCCCAGTCATTAAATCTTTCTTCCTGCCGTCACTCATGATTCAGCTAAGTACCAGGGCACTAGTGGAAATTTCAGAAGAGCTCACAGAACCAATGACTCTTTTCACAGCATTCAAGTCTGTTCCAAATACCTCAGCCAACCCAAAGTCATTTACCTTAATTGATCATCATGAATTTGAGCTAGTTCTAAGAAGTTTGTTCTGTGCTCGCTGGCTTTGGTCAAGGCACAGGGAAGGGGGATCAACAGATATCTTTTCTGAGCAGCACAGAAAGCGTCCTCAGATGTGTTCTGTTCAGGAGATGGCAATATTATTCTTATCAATACAAAATACACACACGTAATTCAGAACCTCCCAAGCAGGCAGACACAGCGACAAACACATTAGATATTTTATCCAATCTGCTCTACAGAAGGCTGTCCAAGTTTGCACCTGCTCTATGCATCTCAGTGCTCCAAATGAGATTAATTAAAAAGCTATGCTCACTGTGAAGTTGTAGTGAAAACTGTCTTCCATCTCCTTTTGGTGTTGAGAGCTTCCCAGCTTGGCAAGGTTGACCTTTTCAGAATGCCACAACCCTTACAATTCAGTGTTCTTTCCAAAATCTATGCAACAGGAGGAGACATTACGGAAAAATCTTAGTGGAGAGCTATTTACTGCAGTACTGAGTGCTACAGCCAGTGGAGACATCAGCGTTTTCTGTTCATTCAGTAGGCACCTAAGGTACTCACAACAGAAGGGCAGAGGTCAGTCTGAATGCTTCCTGCACAAAATCTTTGTTAATGCAGAAGTCAGGCTGTTGGCTGTGCTCCGTAAGACTTTCACAGGCTTTCTGTATTGCGATAAATAACCAACGCAACCATCCCTTGCCTTTCAAACCTCCCTCTTGCCAAAACCAAAAGGTGCGTGAATTATTTTTTTCAGTCCAAACTGTGCACTCAAACAGTTCTGCACATGCCTGCTCACCTTCAGGGATAGACAGACAGACACGTGCAGCACCAGTAAATGTGCATTACCTGCTGGTAGTGCCACACACTATTGGAACTCAGGACACAAAACACACCTAAGTCTCTAGAGGTCATTAGGTAATGGTTAAGAAACATACGTGCTGTGACTTCCCCTGTGTATGATTACAGGGTTTGTGTGTAATGGACTACAAAGAAAATCGGCATTCAAAGAAAAATGCATCACGATCTTTGCGTGTTAATCCAGGACTTGGGAAAACCTGAGGTCCCTGAAGCTGGTATAACTCTACTGAGCTTCAGCACTGCAGGCAGCATATCATCTGTAAAATTTTAAATGTGGGGGTGGTCTCAGCACTGAGATGAGCAGTTTACACATTGGCAGTCCTGTAGATTTGTGAGCCGAATGCTGCAGAAGTGCCTTTGGGGACACCCCCTTACCTGCATGTTGGAGCTGCTGTCACCAAGTAATGGAGAAATCAATCTTTCCTTATAAAACTCTTCTCTAGAGCACAGAGCAAGTAATTCAGATGCAAGCAGAAGTGGGAGAAATGACCCACTTCTGAGTGGGAAGAGATCACAGCAATGCTTATCGAAATTAATCATTTGAAGACAAAGGTTCCTTGCAAGTTAATCTACAAACCCTACCCGGCAGCTCTGAGTGCGCTAACAGAGTAAAGAGAGATGGCTGTCACTGAGCGACAATAATCCCTGTTACACACAGAGGAAACTCGTCTGTATGTTTGTGGGTTTGTGCTAGACAGACTAATCCTTCCTAATCTCATTCTGGAATTAGCTGGTTCATTATCTCTTCCTTTTTTATTTTGCTAGTCACCTGCATCTTCTACATCATGATCTTACCTGTCAGAAGAAGATTAATCCATGCTCTTTCATGAAGTTAAATGGTTGTGCAAACATTTGGGTAGGAAGTCAAAACATCCAGCATTGTATGCTCATGTGTAGGTGTGTTATTTCTATTTTCTTTTTTCACAGCACACATCAGAGCCTGTCTACTATGCATCACCTAGCAAAAATGAGGAGAGCAAAGGATGACATCTTCCTCCAGTCCAGCTGGGGTTCCTCTGCCAAGAAAAGGCAGGAGGAGTTTTGTGCTTGTAGCAAATGAAGCAGTGGAAACAGAGCAGAAACGCACCAGAAGGAAATCTCCCCCACATGCTTTGTCATCGCATTTGGTCGAAAACCATGGCTGCTAACCTCGCCTTGTGCCACCTCCAGAGACTTGGAACCATGCTGCTGGAATCAGACGGCGAGTTTCTGTCAAGCACAAATATATCTACAGAGCCTCTCTGTGAACCCAGACGTGCGTATGCTAAAAGCCATAACCCTTTTGCAGACCAATAAAGTCTGCCTCCCTTCTAAATCCTTTTTCAGAAACACTGAACTTTTAACATAAACACCTACATCAAAAATTTGGCATAACTGTACCCCTCCTAAATGGTTTTCTGTGTTTAAAAAAACTCCAAATAAATATTCTGGGTTACAACATGTATCTTTCCTAGAGTGTAACTTTAAAAGAGTGAAACTATAGCTCCCTACTACTAAATAAAGCTGTGATTTGCCCAAGTCTAGTTTCACAAATGCTGTCATCAGTCAAATCTCTGTGTAGCTACAGCAAGCCCTAATCATTTCTCACATTGACAATTCTGGCAATCTTACTTTATATTGTAACATACATGGGCCGAATTCTGTGATACAATGCTATGGATATCAGCAGCATTCCTTATATCTATCTACGTATATATGTTCTTCATATGTGCTTAAGGAATAACAGGGATGTTGCATCCTTTCTTTGGCCACATTTCACTCTGCATAACTGAGCTGGGTGCAACTTATCGACACTTCACTCCCTTTGAGCTGGCCCTGGAGACTCTTGGAGACCTCAGCTAGACGTGGTGTGTGAGGGAAGGCAGGGATGGCTCTACAGCAGCCAGAACAGGGTCATCTTCAGAATGAGATGGCTACTGCCCAGCACCTCACTTAGTCCCCGACTGCTTCCCTTGTGTCAAAGAAAACTCAGCAAATAAGAGAATACACAAGCCCTGAGATTTACAGTGGTAAGTACAAGGTGGAGGTGAGGGTTGGGTAACTACTAACCTGCCTTTGTCAAGGTACTCCCTTGCTCTGAGTCACACCATGCACTGAAGAGTGAGGCGATGACTCTCCAGGACACCAGACTCGCAGACAAGAGATCTGCATTCATCTAATCCTGCTGAATTGATACCACAGCTGCTGCTGCTGCTGTGCTTGGTGGCCTGAAGATTTACGCCTTTTCCTGCAGCTCTTTTGGAGGCACTTTTCTCAACTCAACAGATGTCTGAGCTAGCAGACAAGCAGTTCAAATTCATTAGTGCACAAAGAGGAAGATGTCTCGAAACAGCAAGATGTGACTCATGCTCCGCTACCAAACCCTATCTGCTCTCTGGAGAGGGGCCTGGCTCACCGTATGCCTGCAGTCACGCTCCTGCGTCTGGACAGCTGGAAAGCAACAGATTCAGTGCTCAGGGCTGTCTTGACTTACGGTGACCTACCTCATTTAGGCACAGGTTTAGTGCCCAATATTAATAGCAACGTTCTTAGCAGGAATTGTGTTGTACTGTCTCCTGAGAAAAATCACAAACAGAGAAGAAGCAATTGCATTTCAGGAAGGATCCTAAGTGTAAGCATGAAAACTGATCAACAGAGATCAGATCCATGGAGAGAAAGCAAGCATGGAATGACAGAATTGTTTGAGTTGGAAGGGACCTTAAAGACCATCTAGTCCCACTGCCCTGCCCCGGGCAGGGCCCCCTTCCCCCAGCCCAGGGTGCTCCCAGCCCCGTCCAACCTGGCCTTGAACCCTTCCAGGGAGGGGGCAGCCACAGCTTCTCTGGGCAACCTGTGCTGGTGTCTCACCACCCTCACAGTAATGAATTTCTTCCTTCTATCTAGTCTAAGTCTACCACTGCCTTCCAGTTTAAACCCATCACCCCTCATCCTATCATTGCACCCCCTGACCCAGAGTCCCTCCCCACCTTCCCTGCCCCCCCTTTAAGCCCTGGGAGGCCGCTCGAAGGGCTCCCCGGAGCCTTCTCTTCTCCAGGCTGAACCCCCCCAACTCTCTCAGCCCGGCCCCCCAGGGGAGCTGCTCCAGCCCCCCCAGCATCTCCGTGGCCTCCTCTGGCCCCGCTCGAGCAGCTCCGGGTCCTTCTGCTGTTGGGGGCCCCCGAGCTGGACCCAGCACTGCAGGGGGGTCTCGTGAGAGCAGAGTAGAGGAGGAGAATCCCCTCCCTGGCCCTGCTGCCCACACTTCTCTTGGTGCAGCCCAGGATGCAGTTGGCTTTCTGGGCTGTGAGCACACGAAAAAAGGCAGAAAAAGATCAGGGGTTGCAAGCATGCAAGTGAGGTGGTTCTGTGCCTGGAGAAGACCTGGCAGCAGCACTGGAGGAGGGGAGCCTGATGTCGGGGCACCTAGGTAATACTGCCAGTGGGCGAGCAGGGATGCAGGAGCTGATCATCAGCTGGGAGAGCTGCAGCTGTGTCCCGGCCCCGACTCACCGCTGCGTGATGTGTATACCGGCCACGCTTCAGGGTCCCTGGGAGCAGGATGATGTCACCGAGGCAGCCATCAGCTAGAGTTTCTTTTTGGCAAAAGATTATGACCCACTGAAAAATTTAGGAGAAGCAAGCATTCAATTGCCTAATTTAGCCTTTTCCTGAAAATACAGCTGGCAACAGTGTCTAGGGAGGCTCCACAACTTCGCTAATTCAAAATGAAAATAATAAAAAATCAGCTTGGAACAAATTTAGATCTATGTATATCCTTTCTTAATGAGCATGTTAATGTATAAAACGTCCCCAAGGGCAGATGTATTCTGAAGCAACTAAAAAATTCCATTATGCTATTTTCAAATAAAGGAAACTAGGCCAACTCATAATGTCACTTCTAAAGCGGCATGAAGTAGCTGTTGCACACTTTTCTACTTGTTAACCACTGAATGAATATGACTTTCCATGATTGCTTTGTCTCCCAGTTATACTTTCTTGAAGCTCTGTATTTTCTTCAGCTCTCAGAACCTGTGTTACCAGGGTGGAATCAGGCATTCTCACCAAGTTTTTCTCCGCCCTTTTTCTGTCTTAATGCTCATCTTTCAGGCTGCCATAGAGCTTAGTCTATTTAATTTATTTTGTTGAACTTCTGTGCATCTGCATCCAAGACAGCAACAAGAGAAATTACTGGACACAAAAAAATGAGCTGTAAGCTCCTACTGCTGTTAAATGCAAGAAAGGTGCAGAGAAAAGGATGGCTCACTTAGGAAAGGCAGCTGGTGATACCAGCAGCTCTATCACACCCTGAAGATAATGTTTAACACCCTTGCCCACTTCACCAAGCATGAAATTTAAAAAGTGAAGCAACTTCATGAATAGTGAAGGTAACCCAAAGAATTCTACTTCTGAGGATCTTTTTCTTTGTGATACAGAATTTTCCACAGAAAACACATGTGTAATAAACCGCGTAGAGATAAGTGGTGCATCAGGCTGATTTTGGTATTTGGCAGGTTGTCAGGCTGGGCCCTGCAATTCCTGACTGGCAGGGGCCAGCCTAGGTGATGATATCTCACGCCCCTTCCAGAGAAGTTAGCCACTTACAGCTTGCACTCGACTCTGAGGGAAGGCCACCAGCATCTTCGGCCAACAGGCTAAAAAGACAGAGTGAGGGTAGAAACAGGGCTTGGTAAATGCAGAGATTAGCTGAAAATGACCTTTCGCCACCTTGCTCTTGGAATAAGATTCACTGACAGAAGCACTCGGGTTGAAAGGGCTCTCTGGAGGCCACTCAAAACAGGGCCAAATTCAAAGGGACACCAGGCTGCCCAGAGACCCATCCTGGCCCCTTCAAAACTCTCAGTGGATGGAGGACCCAGCACCTCTCTGGGCCCCAGTCCAGTGAACCACCTCCCCAGTGAACCATTTTTTCCTGGTATCTACTCTCATCCCCGTGTTCTGAGTTCTGACTGCTGCCTCTTGTTCTCTTGTTGAATGTTTCTAAGATGTCTTCTCTGTAACCCCTGTATCTCATGTGATTACCAAATACTCACACATTACTCGTCTCACTCTTCCCAGGGATCTATATAGCAATCATAGACATGACTGTCCTCAGGACATGAAAAGAGCCATCATGAAAATGTTATTCTGTAGCTTCAAGCCAATTAAAGCCAAAGACTGAGATTTTATCTATACTCAACACAGATCAGATTGTCAAATGACCTCAGCAATCTGCTTTATACAAAAGCTCATCTGCCACTTAAATGCACCCATGGAACTCAGATTTAGGGGAGTTTCAAGTTCCACAGCACGCTTTGCTGACTGTTTTGTTTGTTCTTTACTAACTACCTTTAAAGAACAATTTAATATGTTGATGCCTTCCAAAGATCTGGCTCTTCAGATGTGGAACAAGAAGCTACCAGGAGTGGGTGGCCAGATGTTTTGGCAGCTGGCTCCCACACCCTTCAGCAGGAACACAAGAATACCTGTCCACTTATGTGGAGCTTTAGCCAAAAAATTAGTATGAGAAACATAGCAGGTTGCTTTATTATAACAAAAGGTCAGTATTTGCCCTTCAATAAATCTATGAAAGCCCCTGATCTTTTGCCTACTAAAGCTTATTTTGAAGTGTGCCTTTGGAAAATCCAGGGAAGAAAAGAAGAATCATGTAGGTCAAATGCCAATTCCGATCAGTTCCAACAGACTTTTAACTTACTTCACCAGGAACTGTGTATATGCAAAATTTTTGTGGCACTGCTGGTACTGTCTAATTATGAGGGATCAGTGTTTGCAAAAGAAACCACCCAGGTTGTCAAGTGGAAAATATTGTGACAGGATATTTTCATTAGGTTCTGGGATGTGCTCTAACTTGTGTGCATTAATTTAGTAGGTCCTTAAAAAAAAAAATAATCCTATGAAGTTAAGCATTCTTCCTTATTTTTTCTTAAAGAATTGCATAAAATTGCCTTTTACTCCAGAAGCAGCAGAGTGACTTTCTAACAGTCCCACAACAACATTTGTGGTATCAGAAGAATTTGTCCTTTACTTAAGCGTCACTGCCCCGAATCCCCCCTTCCCACTCAAAATACCCACACCCAGGGCTTGCAATCCTGACTCTGAGGTTCAGTTCCTTAATATCGCTACTGTCTCTGATGGAACAGGTACGTGAGATTGTTGTTACTCTTTGCTTAACTGTTGCCAAAACTTCTGTTTGTTTGTTTCTGGGGGCTGAGCAAAAGGAAGAGTTTGTATCTGAAGCAACCTTAACAAAGCAAGGTGGCCATATAAATCCACAGTTTCACTCTGTGTTTCACTGTATGTTAAGGGCTCTACCTCTTAAGTGCTTCCAGAAGCCAGTGGGCACCCTACAGAGTGTCCCTCTGGGATATTTCACAATAAATAAATATCATCTATGAAATTTTGATACCACAAGGCAAGACAGTTGTTCTTCTGTAGAAACACAGTGTAGTTACACAGAGGAGAAAATTCGATTTAACATTTCCCTCAAGAGAGACAGAACAATCACTTGAGCATTAATAAAA